GGGACTGCAGGGGGCTGCGCGCAGTGGCTGGGAGGGAATACAGAGCAGAAAAACCTGGGTTCTCCATAAAATACGAAAAAAAAAAAAAAAAAAAAAGCAAAGCAACACGGCCGGTGTGCCCTGCGGGGAGGGGCGCCATAAGCCTTTGTCTCCTCAGACCCCGGGCGCCGTTACTGGCGCTTCTCGCAAGAAGAGAGGCGGGGCGCAGCCACAGCCGCCATCTCCTCCTGGCGCAGCCCCTGGTGGGGGCGGGGCCGCAACCTCCTGGGCGGCACTGAGACTTGTTCACAGCCCGAGGCAGACAGGAATGTTCTGCCCCTGTGCCTCTGTGAACTCGCGCCTCTAAGGCAAACGAACAAACAGCGGAGTTCTGGCGCAGAGCAGGGGCGCGGGCCGGAGCGGCCGCTTCCCCCAGCCCGCCTGACAGGGAGCTAGGACCTGACGCGGTGCAGGGAGCCGCACTGTCCGCGGGAGTGACCCGCCCAGATACCCTGCAGGAGCCCGGCGCCTAGACGCGGTGCTGGGAGGGGGCGTGAGCCGCCTGCTTACCTTGCACTAGCGCGGCTACGGACAATGGCTTTCGGAGGAGCCGCGACCCCCACAGAGCATGGCGCTGGAACGCAGCGTGGAGGGGGGGCGTGACCCGCCTGCGCACCACGCAGAGCGCGGCGTGGGAGGGGGCGTGGCGTGCGTGCGTGCGTACCTGTGCTGAGGGGGGGTGCCCGAGCTCAGCTGTCTAGAAGGGGTGTGACCCGCGTGTCTACCGGCACAGGGAGCAGCACAGACCAGGTGCGTGACCAGAGGAGGGCCTCTGGAACCAGTGAGTGGTGTTCGAGCAGCAGGGCAAGGGTAGGAGCAGTGACAACCACAGAACAAAAGGGAGACCACGCCGAATGGCTAGGGGAGACTCTGCAAACCAGAACCCCGGCCACATCCCCAACCAAAGGGGTAACAGGCAAAAGGCAGGGAAGGCTTGACAACCACCCATACTTAAGAAGGACCTCTTGACAAAATTATTAAGAGCGCACAGTCTCCATGGGAACACACTTTTTTTCCTTTCTTTTCTTTTTTCTTTTTCTTTTTAAAATTTTACTTTTTTAAAATTTTTGTTTCTATTTTTTAATCTCTTAAAATTTTTTCTTTTAAAATATTGTTATTATTTTTTAAAATTTGCCTCAATTTCATTTTTATTTCTCTTTGTATGTTTTGGTTATCAATTATACTGTTTTCAAATCTTTTTTTCTTCTTCTATGCTAAAAGAAATACTGAAAGGTCCTCGCTAAATAGAAAAGAAGCAGGATGCTACAGAAAGGAGAAAGTCATAATTGGAAAGATAATGACTACCATGAATTACAACAAAAGAAACATGAAATTGTAAGAGGACATCTAAATCATTAAGGATGGGAGAGGAGAGCAAGAAAATATCGATTTTTTTTCTCTTTCTTTCTCTTTTTTTCTTCTTTCTTTCTTTCTTTCTTTTTTTGTTTTCAGTAGGATGGATTTGAGCTTATATTACTACCTGTTTAAAACAAACATATAATAATGTGTTAATATATGTACAAAACAGGATAACCACAAGCCAAAAACTTACAACAGAGTCACAAAAACTAAAAAGAAACCAAGATAACACAAAGGAAAATTATCAAACCACAAAAAAGAAAAAGAAAGGAACAAAGAGGAAATACCAAATCAGTTGCAAAACTCAGTTCAAAATGGCAATAAACATCTATCAATAATTGCTACAAATGTCAATGGACTAAGTGCTCCAATCAAAAGACACAGAGTGGCAGACTGGGTAATAAAACAAGAATCTACAATACGCTGCATACAAGAGACCCTCTTTAGTGAGAAGAACACACATAGACTGAGAGTGAGAGGATGGAAAAAGATATTCCATGCAAATGGAAATGACAAGAAAGCAGGAGTAGCAATACTAATTTCAGACAAAATAGACTTTAAAAAAAAGGCCATAAAGGAAGATAAAGAAGGACATTTTATGATGATTAAAAGAGAGGGTGTGGAGAAAAGGGAACCCTCCTGCAATGTTGGGAATGCAGTTTGGTGCAGCCATTGTGGAAAACAGTATGGAGATTCCTCAAAAGACTAAAAATAGACTTACCATATGACCCAGCAATTCCACTCCTGGGTGTATATCCAGAAGGAACCCTAATTCAAAAATATACCTGCACCCCAATATTCATAGCAGCACTATTTACAATAGCCAAGACATGGAAATAACCTAAATGTCCATCAACAGATGACTGGATAAAGAAGATGTGGTGTATTTATACAATGGAATACTACTCAGCCGTAAAAATGATAACATAATGCCACATTCAGCAACATGGATGTCGGTGCTGAAGAATGTAATTCTAAGTGAAGTAAGCCAGAAAGAGAAAGAAAAATACCATATGA